AGAGCGGGGTAACTGGCTGCCTGGCCTGCTCCGGGGCGGGCATGGCGCCCGGCCCGCTTTGGGGTGCTCGGCCGGCTTTGGCGTGACTGGGTGCCAGGCTGCTTCAGGGCCCGTGCAGGATTCCGGCTTTGGGGTCGGGCTCTCCTCTCCCCGCAGCAAGGGCGTGTGTGGGGAAAGCTTTGTGGTGAGCGGGCTTGTCTCTACAGGAGCGGGAGCAGAGGGGATCCGGTGAGATGTGGGAAGCCTTTCATGTTTTTGGAGCAAAGGTTTGGCTTCGGGGATCTTAGACCACCTCATGCCTTGAGGAGAGCCTCTACGCTTCACTTCTAACGAGTTAGAAGTCGATTTGCCTTCCCAGGCTTGTCAGCCAAGCGTAAGCAGGCTCCAGGGAGAACTTCTGAGTTTTTCTCTGGTCGTGGGAAAATGAAAAGCTGTAAAACGTGGCTTTGGGGGTAGTCTGGGAACACAAAGGCTTGTTTTTATGCCTTCCTCTTCCCCTCTGGTTCAAATCAGGTGATAATGTTTACTGAGCCAGAGCTGAAAGTCAGGTAGAAGACGTGGCGTGGTCCCTGCCAGGATTGGGAATGGCACCGTGACTCTCCTCGGCGAGGAGAAGCTGCAACGTTCCTGTTGCTGTCTCGCATACAGCTACAAACCAGCTTTGGCTTTTACCTCTTTCCTTATTTGATTGCTTACAATTTCCACCTTAGTATTTTCCTGGAGGATTTTTCCAAAGTTTTTAACCTTCTTATCTCCCGCTGGGACTGACGAAGAGAGCTGTCCTGCTGCCAAAGTCACTGGGCATCCGTATTTGTTTGTGGGTTCATTCCCCAATAAGCAGTGACATCTTGCTGTTGATTTGGTTTTGCGGCAGAAATTTCGGTGGTGTTATTTGGCAAAATCTCTCATTAGATTGCATAATAGCTCCATTTTCTCCCTCTGATGTTTCCTGTCACCCTTGGATTTGGAGGCTTGAAAGCTAGTCAGTGCTGAGAGGAGAATTAAAAAAAGGAAGAAGTGTCTAGACCTTTGAAGGTGGCAACGCTGTGACCGCGTTATATTCAGCCGTACCTTCTGGCTGGTAAAACGTTGCACAGATAGGCAAGCTGTCTGGCTGCTTTGCGTTGCACCAGATAGGAACACGCAGAGGGTAAGTGATGCAAGCGCAGAACATCAAACTTCGCAGAGTCCTTTCTCTGCGTTGCAGGGTTACGTTACCAACAGGAGCTACGTGCTGCTTATAACCACAGCTGCGCTTAGCGGCGTGTGTGGCTTGTCTTTCCTCGTAACGGCCAACCGCCTCAGTCCCTTTTTATTTTGATAGCTTTAGGATCTCTAATTGAGCCGTGGCTTGTGAATCTGTTTCTGTTTAGCGTTGCTGTAATCTCTTCTGAAGTATTAGTCACTGTGTGCAGTCCCTCAGGGGGAGAGGAGTGAGAAATCGGAGGGAGGTCAGCAAACCTGAGAATGCCGGAGGATGTGGGGGAGAGCTGTAACTTGGCCTGAAGTATTTACTACTAAGTGATGATGATGATGGGAGGGAGTTGGGATATAGATCTGCTGCTCCCTGGGGCTGTACATATCCAGCAGGGAGGAGAAGGTCTTTGAAACAATGGGATCATTTAGGGAGGGAATGCTCTTCCTGGAGCCAGGAGCCCTGTTTTCTGTCTGAGGTGCTTAAATCTAGTTTGCTGTGAAAAGCTGCAGTGTGGAGGGAAGATGGGCAGGGTGACCTTATTTTCAGTTGTTGAAGTGGAAAGTCGGGTTTTATCTCAAGGCAGTTTCTCCTGGATCTAGCCTTTTGACTTGGAGACACAAATGGGTTTGTTCTGGGAGACTGGGCCAGGGACGTGCGTAGTGCAGGCCTTCGGAGTCTTGCGCTCTCCGTAACTGCAGCCACTCACGGTAAAATCCCGGCGCCTGACTGCCCCACAGACAAGCTGACTCTGGCTTTGGGTATTCCCTGCGTGTTTTTCTTTTGCTTGTACCTCTTCTGCATCTTTACCGCTCTCTGCCTGGCTGCGGCTCACCCGCTTTCATCTCTCGGCTGCGTATAACGCGTTAACTGTGCCTGTCCATCCCACGCTATGCAGTTGGTTTTACGGCTGCTCCAGCAGTCTCCTGGCAGCGCGTTGCATGTGCTCGGCGTGATCGGGGGGCAAATATCTCAGCCTGACGGTTCGCTTCTTGCCTCGGTAGATGGCTCTTCCCGATCATTGGCCACATGGGTATCTGCACATCGACTGGAGTCATTCGGGACTTCGCGGGGCCGTACTTTGTCTCAGTAAGTAGACGATGGATCCGGGTGCTTAAGCAGAATCTGTGCTTGTTCTGCTTCTCACCTTCGTTGGTGACTTTTGAGCCATCCCCTGTCTCTTGCAGTTCAAAGTTTTGCAAGGTAATGGCTTAGATGTTTCTGAAGATTGTGGATCTTCGGTATTACTCTGTGGGCTGCTGTCCATTGGACTTCATTTGGGGGATATGATAGATAGTGGCTGGTTTGGTTTGGTGAGCAGAAGGGAAAAAATATTGTAGTCCAGGCTCTTAATTGGGAATTTTGGACCTAAATCCTTTTAATTCTGAGTAACAGAAGCTGCCTTCCAACTTCCTCAGCATGCCTGTTACTGTCATGCTGCTTGGCATCAGGTATGTGCCAGTCTTCTAATCTGCTTTATAGTCTGGTGGATTTTGAAAGTAAGGGAGTTTTAAGTTGGGATAATTAATACTTTTAATAGATGGGAACACTTACGGCTTTGAGTGAACAGATATTAACAGTTAAAAAAAAAAGGCAGGGGGGACGACAAGGTACATATACTGTATAGCTAGATGATGTCACCGCGTATAGAGTATAAATATACTCATGCCCAGAACAGGAGTATGAAAACAATTGAAATCTAAATCCAGACACACAAATAAGACTGGTGTCTTGAGACTGCTGAGGCAATGTGACAGTTTTATCACTAAGCGATCGTGGGCTGTGAGGCCTTCCAGCAAGAGGCATGTCATGAATATTGCGCGGGGTTATCCTCTTGAGACGTTTTTCCTTTTTTGTAGGAAGACAACATGGCATTTGGGAAGCCAGTGAAGTAAGTGCTCTTGTTAGTTTTTATTAAACTAACCAACTGACCTGCAGATGTCCTTTAATTCACGGAGACAGACATGCTATAATATTGCTTTTCTTGTTGTTCAGATGCCCTAATTCAAGTAGATGGCTACTGTGTCTCTGCTTTTCAAGAAACCACGTTAAATTAAATCTTTTTAGAAGCGTGACAGCAATGTATAATAAGAGCTGTATGGAGCCTTTATTTAAAAAAAAAAAAAAAAGAAAAGGCTAAAACATTTTAAGATAATGTTAACAAGTGCTCCAAGTAAATACTGCCTGTGCTGTACTAATGAACTGTCATCACTCGCATCCTATTAGTGATTTTCTGGGGGGAGGAGGAGAGGTGCCTGCGTTCTGTGTATCTGTCAGATCAGGTTTATGTTTTGAATGGCCTGAAGGTTTCACATCATGGGACGGGAGAGCAGTTCAGAGTTTTGTCTGTGCCCCTGGGGTCTGCACTTTCTCTCTCTGGGGTGCTGAGGGTGCTGAGCATTATTTTTTGCTGCTCTCTGCCGCGTACGCTTGTCTTGGAGAGCTTGGCTCCGTGGACTCCAGAGGTAGTGGATTTCTCTAAGTCCTTTAAGCATCCTCCTGCTGGGAAGAGTAAGAAGCTGTAAAGGTGCGGCAGTAATGCCAAGGGATCTGTTCTCATCCTTCTAGGTATTGGAAACTGGATCCCAGCAAAGTATACTCCACTGGTCCCAATGCTTGGGACACGGCCGTGCACGATGCCTCGGAGGAGTACAAGCACCGAATGGTACGGCTCCGACGCTGGTGTCCTGTCTGTGTGGAGGAACATCTCCCCAGTGTTGGGGTGCTTGCTGCAGGAGTGGGACCTGTGGGTCTGCACCAGCACAGGGTGCAGAACTGGGGAGCCTCAAGGACAGGGTTTCTAATCCTGTGCCCCTTTTTCTGTTCCAGCACAACCTTTGCTGTGATAACTGCCATTCTCACGTGGCTCTGGCCTTAAACTTGATGAGATACGATAACAGCACCTCCTGGAACATGGTGAAACTCTGCTTCTTCTCACTCCTGTATGGGAAGTATGTAAGGTGAGCTGAGGAGAAGTCTAGATTCAGCAGGCAAAGGGGCTCCATTTCTTTAATTCTTCCTAGCCCTCCAAAGCTTCAGACTGTCCTGTGGAGAAGGGAGAAACATCTCTCCCCCACGACGTGTGGGTGTATGTTGCTGGTAGGTGGTACTGTCACTGCCTGCTGCCTCTTAGGAAAAGAACCAAGAGTGTTTGCTGGGTTGCACTGGATGCTGCTCCTGAAATACTAATTTAGGGTGCCTGGAATTTGGGAAATGCTAGCTGAAGCAAGTCTCACCCTGTGTTGTCTTATGGCTGGGTTAGGTCAGAACATAAGGTCACGGAATGGCTTGTCTCCAGGGACCGTAGTCCCTGGATTTCTCTTCCCTCTCCTGCATCTTGTTTATATAAAAACTAGTCAGATTTCCAACTGGCGTGGAGCTTCCAACTTGAGCGGAGAGGGAAACCCCAAGGTTTCCGTACTGGAAAGGGCACTTAATCTCCATTTCTCCTTGTGCCTGAAGAGGAGATTCTGTGAGGACTGCCCTGCAGAAAGCTTTTGAGTTGCTCCGCTTCTGTTGGGTCTTCTCTGTTCTGGAAAAGCTTCTCTACCAGCTTTTAGGCAAGTGTAGTCCCCGCTGTCTTGGTTAAATACACCAGCCGTCTGAATAACAAGGCCTGCGGTAACAGGGTTTCATTTTTTTGTGGTCTCCTGTCACCGTTCCTGTCTGTGCAGATGTGAAACGTGCTAGTCTTTGACCTGAATTAAACTGGAAGGGGAGTCCAGCCCTGTTCATGATATAGTTATTTGTGGACCTGATTTAGTCTCAATTTTTAACATGGGACTGAATCTCCAGGACATGTTGTATGGCAGTGCTACCATAAGAAATAAGTGATAAGAAAGTCAGAAGGGCGTCTGTCTCCCTCCGATTTATCCAGTTTTTCTCACATCCTTCTCTTCCTCTTGTCTTTCTCTGCTGATTTCTTATGTTTAAACCTTCCCTCTTCTTCCATCTTGCAGCATAGGGGGATTTGTGAAGACCTGGCTTCCCTTTGTCCTCTTCTTGGGGGTGATCGTGACTGTTGTTCTGACGCTTCATTTGCGGTGATGGCAGCTGTGAACTCACCATTCCGTGGGCACACGAAGGAAGAAACTGTGACTGATCCAGCGAGGTGGAGGCATGGGACTCTGGGAGGCATTTTCTGGGGAAGGTGGCAACTCCACTCCATTGTAACAGCTCATCTTCGTTTCCTGGAACTGGCTTCTTTCCCTTCTGTTTTTGTTCTGTCGATGGCGTCTCCCAATGTCAGGGGTCCTGAAGCCTCCTGCTCGCTCCCCGAACGTGCTCCCTTTCTGCAGTTTGGTAGGTAGAAACGCAGTCAGGAAAGGAGAGGCGTGGGCACCTTTGCTTTCAGTGCCAAGTAAAAAGCCGCAAGGCAAACCCTGCCTCCTGGTTCGGGAGCACAAGCAGATACACCTTGTAAGGTTCTCTCTGATCACCTGGTTTCTTCCTCTTGGCAGGCTTCATCAGATGCTTCCTCAGATTTCCTCGGTCTCCAGGAAGGAGTTGTTGTTTCCCCGTTGCACGACTCTCCTGTAGCACACATTTCAAAGTGGAGGTGCGGGCTTGCTCCTGGGGATGTGGAGTGCTGCAGCACTCGCTGACGGTCTCCCCAGTAGCGACAGAAAGGTGTTGATGGCGGGACGCTTCTCTGAGGAGACGCGCAGAGGAACGCTCTGTGGCAGGGCAAATACGTCTGGTCCTGCTGGTGAGCCCGGAAAGGCAGGAAAGTCGATCAGCTGGCTTGAGTATGGCTCATGGCAGTCTGCACGCTGAAAGTAGCCTGTTGCAGAGTTGAGACTCTACTGCTAAGTCCCTTTTAGCTTGTGCCAGAGAAAATGTAGCTTCCCTGCTTCTCCTTGTGCTCTGAATATCTAAAATTGTCATCACACTTCTCGTGAGCCACTTTCTCGCGAGCCACTTACTTTCCTTTGATGCCTAGTACTTGGTGTGTCGCAGCGTACCTGAGCCTGCAGAGGCAGCAGCAGCAGCAGGTACGTGTTTCTGGGACGGAAGGCTTAGCGTGGGGTTTTGAAAGCATCTGTGAGAGCAGCACCTGAGACCTGAGCTTAGTGGAGCCGTTGGAGATTAAGAGGAAAAGGTGAAGGGACTGGAAAGCATCCGTGTTCTGGTTGGGCTTTGCAGCAGCAAACTGGGGCAGTGGCTTTCTCGTGGCTGGTTCCAGGGTGGTGAACAAGAAGGTCTGTTTAGTTCCTTGGCGTGCTTTGAAGAGCACACCTGGAGGAAAAGCAGGACTGACTTTGATGTGAGAAATGCCGGTCTGGCAGCGTTGGGGGCTGATGGCCCCTTTGAGCCCTGGATCGGGCAGGATGGGTGGTAGGGGGGTAGGTTGTTCCTGAGTGTTAGGCGGGAAGTGAATTTGGACATGACCCAGAGCCTCTGCCAGGGTGAGAGGTCCAGGTCTGCGTTTGCTGAGGCTCTGGCCTGCAGATGCTGCTTTCTGTGGGGCTCTGAGCCAAGTGGCTTTCTAGAAAAAGTGTGGCTGAAGGGCTATGTGCAGTTGAGCAGATCCCCTCTGACTGCAGAGGAAAGAGAATAGCTTTTCCACTCTCACCTTGAAAGGCCAGCTCTTTACTCCACTACCTGACAGATTTCAACTGCAAGGAGTGCTCGTGGCCAGCTCTCCACTGCCTGCTCTCCCCGTGGCTTCCTCCAACTGGGAAGCCAGTTCACCGTCACCCCGCTGGCTCTCGGACCTGTCCCCGCGTGCCTTTCCATCCGCTTCCATCTCCCCAGCTCCTCTAGCCATAAGGGATGGCTGGGGACTCCTCTTGGGCTTCTCCATTTCTGCATTTCCTCCTTTTCCTTGGTCACTTTTAAACAGCCCCTTAAACCTCTCCCTTCTCCCTCGCATCCAGTTGTCTCTATACCCTCTGGTGCTGGCTTTTCTGGGGTGGGTGGAGGTGTGCAAACCTCGGCACCCTTCCCCGTCTACCTGGAACTGAAATAGTTGTCGGTGTCTGCTCTGTAGAGTCACTTCAAGCCTGCGTGGAGAGCGGGCTGGAGGGTGCCGGGCCTGGGGCTGATTAGAAAGCCAAGATCTTGATCAAAGAGAACCTTACAATGAAAGGATGGTGTCTTACCGAGCGACCCTGTATCGCTGCGGTTTCCACCCAGCGAGCCTGCTGGCTAACGTGCCCTAGGACGAGCCAGTTGAACAGGGGAGATTAGTCCTTTGCCTCTGTTTTTAATTTAAGTATGATTTCTCAGAGTGACCTGGCAAGGATGCACTCGGAGTCCCTGGCCCCGGGGCTGAAGCCAACCTGTTTTACGCAGTAGCAATAACCTAGAGACTCTTAGGCCTGTCTCGCACGTCGATTCAGTGTTTTATCGATAAGCTATACAAGCGTTGCCAAAGCTGAGACTTCCAGTTGTCAGGGGAGGCCGGGAGCGGGGCTGCTGGCCACAGTCCCCGCTCCTGGGACTTCTGAAAACCTGTTGAGTGCCATTCCCCCACCGTGAAAATCTTTGTCGTTTGCTCCTAAAGCTTTTTACCAGATCTGGGGTTTTGAATGGAGACTTAACGGAGCAGCAGCAACCTCGTGGTCGGTTGGAGTGCTGGCTGCGGGGAAGGCAGGCGATGCTTCGCCCCCGTCCTGGCTGAATGGCCGATCCGCCTCCACCGACAGAGACTGAGGATGGCTCCGGGCAGCCGAAGGAAACGCGGCTAACGGGAGAGCAAGGCCCAAAGCTGAGGTACCGCAGAGCCAGCCCGTGTGTCTGTGCTGGACGCGCAGAGCTGTCTGTACTCGCACAATGAAGGATGGTGCCTGTGGAGGTCTGATGCTGGGAGAGGCGGGCGAGCTGGTCGGGATTTACTGTTTTCCTGTGCTGTGGTAGCGTCAGCCCAGCACCACGGGAGCACAGAGAAGCCCCGGCGATGCTCGGCATGGCTTCCCAGCCGCGCTGCAGCCAGCGCCTGCGGTTGCGTGGGGAGTGGGCTGCTTCCTCTTGGCGTGGGAGGTGGCAGAAGGGGGCGGCGGGTAAGGAACGTCCTCTCCTCGCCGCTTCCTTCATCTCGCTGCCGGCTTCTTCGCGGTGCCCCCTTTGACTTGCCACATGAAAGGTTCACCCTTGTCCTTCGCCTTCCAGATGCCAGTTTTACGCTCCTCTCCTTTCCCCTTTGCACGTGCTTGTGCTGCAGAGCTCCGTGGCGTTGCCGTTGCTCTTCGGCGAAGGGCGAGCCCTCCATACCCTCATCCTTTGTTCTCTTGATCTCTGCGGGGCGCTGGATTACTTTGTAAATATTTAAACTCTGCTTCTGTGGTTTCATAATCCTGACGGTAGGGGAAATAAACTTATTTCTGTGGATGTCTCCAAGTGCTGCATCTCTTATTGTCGAGACTCCTTTCCTCCTTCCAGCCATCAGCCAGGTGCGGGTTGGTATTCCCCCCCGCCCCGCTGAGCTCCGGCCCCTCTCCTGCCCCAAGGCAGCGCGGCTGGCTGCACGCAGGGGCCGGACCCCAAAGCTCCCACGCTTTTGACTTTATGAATTTGCCCTTTGCTCTGCTCCGGGGCAAAACTCATAGCCCTCTTTTCAGACCCGCTGTTGGGAACGGGGCTTTTGAGGGCAGGGGGACCCAAATGCAACAGCGCAGGAAGAATTTGCAGGCTTTAATGCCGGGTCTCGAAGCCTGCCGAGGGTCTTTGTTATGGTTGGGAGGAGAAGGAGCTCTGCCTGCTCTCACCCTTTGCTGATCCCTAAACCTCTGCCTGGTCAGCAGAGCCCTGCATGGCCCTGGGCAGGGGGGAGCCGAGCTCTGGGGAGGAGCATGCTTTTTTAGGAGACAAGCCCCCCTCTTGCAGGTTGAGCTGTTCCCTTTCCGTAGTCCTAAGTCGCTGGCATCTCTATTTTCTTGGAGGCTGGGCTCCTTTCCCCTGCCAGCGCAGAGCCCCCCATCTTCCATTTCCCTGCAAGCTGCTGGCGAGGGGCTGCATGTGTGGGGCCTGGGGCTGCCGGCAGCTACGGAGGAGCGGGGAGCAGAGCGGGATGCGGAGAGCCGGCCTCGTTTTCCCCTCTCCCAGCAGGATACCCTCAACTGGGAGCGAGGGAAGCTGGGCCTCCGAGTGCTGTAACGATTGCTAATGCAGCAGCTGATTTTCCGTTACATCTGATATCCAGAGGCCAAAGCTGCACAGTGGGGGAAGTAGATCAGCCTTAAAATTAGGTTGTGTACGAGGCTCGGGGATTTAATGGCGCAGCCATCTTACAAAACACCACCTGGATCCTCTCCCGCTCAGCTCCTCAATCCAAACCACGCTGCTCCTGCGGCTGCGTTAACTCCAGCCCCAGCTTCG